TGAGCTTGAAACTCATAGATCTATCTGCCTGACACCACGGCCCGTCCTGACAGGCGCCTCGGAACCAGCGCGTCCACAACTCGGCCCCCACCTGTCACCCTGTCACAGGCCTGGCTGCCAGCCCCACTTTCTCTCCTGCCCCCCACCCCGGAACCAAGTCTACTGGATTCCCCCTTTCCCCAAAGGCTCTCCACCTCCAGCCCCCAAGCGCTGGGACGGTGACAACGCGCCTACTAACCCCTTCTTGCACCCTCAAGACGCAAGCCCCACACAGCAGCAGAGATGAGATCTGCCGGTGTCTATCTGGCCTCAGTACACCCCTCCTTCAGCCTTCTAGGACCTACTCGCTCCATCTTGAAAGAAATCTAGGCTTCCTGCCAGGCCAGACAGGCCCCACAGCTGAGTATGGAGCCCTGCTGGCCCCTCCAGTCTGGCTTCTACCATTCTCCTCCTTGGACCTGTTTTCCAGCTGCCAAGGCCTGGTTTGAATGAGGTTGTGCCCCTGGATCTTTGCACCTATCATTCCCTCTTCCTGGGATGCTTCCCCCAGAGATTCAGCTGGTTAACAGAGAAATGATGACTCCCTGGGGAGAGACTTCATACAACTAGCACGTTGGAAATCTCTCCTCTCTTTCCCTAAAGAGCATCTTGCATTATCCTATCCCTAGAATCATCATGGTGGGAGGAATCAGCCACCTGGGACACCTGGGTAAAATAAAGGGTAGCCACCCCATAGGACCGAGGGCCTTCACCCTTGCTCTGTGCAGGACCAGGGGGTAGCAGGGTTAGCTGTTCTGCAGGGTCCCGAGCTATGTATGAATAGGCCAGTCACTACATCTCTCTGGGTCTCAGATGTGCTTCTTAACAACAGGAATAGCTCCTCTCTCCAGGAAGCGGACGGCTGAAAAGAAATCCAGTTTTTCACTCCCTGCATGCAGTAGGTCCCTGACAAAGCTGTCTCCCCATTCTTTCCCCTCTGCCTGACTCGATCTTTACTGAGAATGTACTTTGCACCCTCTTTTCCAGATCAGCAGTGCCTTCAGACACAAGGGGAGAGAACTGGCTTCCAACCAAGCAGGACCCTGGCACTGGCTATGCCTCTAACTAACCCTTCCTGAGCCCTGGTGTCCTCGTCTACCAGGGAAAGTGACTGGAGTCAGCACTTGCCCAGTGCCTAGAACATATTAGATGCTCAACTAACACTGGCCACCCTGAGCACTGGGCTTACTGTTGTTCATCCAGTCCTCCACCGTCGCTGTGCACCCGCTCTGTGCTCCTTGCAGGGCACGTACAGGGGACCTTGTTCCTGGAGGCTCAAGTTTGAGGGACGAGGGGTCTTAACTGCATATGAACACATGACGGCAGGCTGACACATCCAAAGGGTGTGTGGGAAGTAGAAGAGGGGCTCGGGAAGAGGAAGCCCTGTCTCTGACTCTGGCCAAGCCCTGGAGGTGAGGGGGGCTGGCGGCCGGGGTGAGGGCTTGGGCACTCGGGCTCCTTCCCTGCTCTGGACAGGCTGGGCGCCGGCTTGGGCAGAGGCCAGCAAGTGACTGGGTCAGACCCTGTCTGCGTGAGTCCAGCCTCTCCACTGCTCTCGGATCCTGGCACAGGTGGGCGGAGGACGGCGCCACCACCAGCCACTTGCCATTCTGGTCATGTCCGGGCTCCCGGCTCCAGAGGTGAAAGGTACCAATGTTAACCACAGCCCATCAGTGCTCCCCAGCTGGAATAAGACAACACGAGGAAGCAGAGCCACGCTCCCAGCCAAATAAAAGCCTGTTTGCCCGGCCTCCCTGGCTGTGAGCGCTTAAGACAGAGGGCTGTGCGGGCAGATTTCTTCCATGCCATTATGTTCCCTGGCTGCGTGAGCAGGTACAGCGGCCTGCCGGGCCCTGAAAGCTTCTCGGCGCCGCGACCCTGCTGCTTTGTAACACGCTCAGGAAGAAAAGGACGCAGCTAGTGGCCGACTCGTGTCTTTCTTCCCTCCGCATGCTCTCTGTTCACAATCCCACATGCAAGGCGCTGAAGAATAGCACTTCACCTACGACGGGGCCGTGAGCGAGCAGGATGAGAAATCTGATTCTTGGCTGGGGAGGGAAGTGGGGAGGGAGGCAGAGGGTGGAGGGAAGAAGAGGATGGGGAGAAGTGAGAGTGGTTTGGGGAGAGCGTCTGGCTTGCTATTCCTTCCTCGAAGCACCCGCCTGGGGTCAAGGTCCCTGCCTACTCAGGCGACTTTCACGAGGACGTTCAATGTAAGATCTGCCCTCCGCTGCTCAATTTGACAGGTGCTTTTCAAGCACGGACCTGCAAGGGGATCTAGGATGGGGCCGCAGTGCAGGGACCAGCTGAGGAGGCCACCCCGGGCCAGGGCAGGGAGGAGCTGGGCCTCCGAGTGGCTTCTCTTGGTCTCGGGAAGCAGTCTGGGGCAGCCCCGGGCTTGGAAGGCAGAGCAGAACGCATTGGTGGTGTTGACAGCCATACCACTGTGCACTAATTAAGTTCCTACTGTGTGCCGGGCTCTGTGGCGCTGGCCTGAGATGCAGGAGACAGGTGACATCTGGAGCCAGTCACAGACACCCTGTCCTGAGCACCTGTGCCTGGCACCTCCACACATGCACACACATACACACACACATGCATGCATGCACATGCACGCACATGCACGACCCGATGCGGGCAGGGCTCAGAGAGCTCTTGGCAGCCCAGGGCAAGAGGCAGAACTGGCACCTTGGGGGCGATGATAAGATCACAGCTGTCACATGTCATGTACCCTGATGCTCACTCTTGTCACTTCCTTCACAGGCAGCCACCCCTTCGAGCCCCACAATCCCCCGGGGAGGTGGGTACCCCACACCCACTGTACAGGTGACAAAGCTGAGGCTGTAGGACAGGTTTGGGAGGTGGTGGCTGCACACACGGGCAGCCAGACACACGGCCAGCAGGACAGCCAAGCCCAGGGCTGAGTCCTGACTCTGTTGGTGGCTGGCTGCCCCTGAGCAAGCCACCTGTCCTCTCTGTGCGGCACTCTCCTTGTCAGTTAAAACAGGATGGTGACTGGGTTTACCCCTGGATGCCACAGGTGTCATATCCCCAGAGCCTGAGGGAGGCCTGTCAGGTGAGCCCTCATGGGGCAGGGCAGCCTCAGGGGGCCCCATGCTGGCTGCTGTCTACCTGCTCGGCCACCCTCACTGTCCCCAGGAAGGGCTCGAAGGCTGCAGTGGCACTGGCAAGCTTGCTGCCAGGCCTGAGAAGGCTCAGACGCTGCCTTCTGCCGTGGCCCTGGTCCCACAGGGGTCTTTTGTTGTGGCTGCCACTCGGTGGCCTCCGCCTGAGACCTGAGTGCCTTCTTGGCAGAGATCAGGCCAAAGCCAGAGCAGAGGTGCTGGGCACGGATCCCACTGCCCTCGGCATCTGCCAGGGCCCGGGGAGCTTCGAACAATGCAGATTTTGACACAAATGAGCTGGGTAGTTTTCACCACAGGGAAAGGGCACTGAGGGAAGAGGCCTGGCCAGGAGCGTAGGAGCCCCAAGGTCCATTCTGGACAGCCCAGGTGTGGTGGCAGAAGGGGCATTCGTGGGGCACCTGCTCTGTCTCACTGCTCCCCACAGGGACTCCAGCTACCCGACATGGAACAGACAGGCTTCAGGCCGGGTCCTCCCACGCTGCCTGTGGTGCTCGATTTATTGAAGGGGCTCCTCTCCACCCGGGCAGAAGTGCTGCGAGCACTCCAGGGAGAGCCCTTACACAAACACTGCCGACGGGGCATGTGGGGCTGTCAATGCCTGTCAATAAGGACAGGCTTTCTGTGGGTCAGGATTTGGGGGTGTATTGAGTTGTGGGCTTGCGGCTGTATACTCAGCCTATGCTCTCCTGGTCTCAAGTTCCCCCCGCCTCAACTCTTTCCAGCCGTGGACGGAGGGCCTGGCCCATGTGGTGTCAGACTGTGCGGGACACGGGGGCTGAGATGAACAGATGGCTGACAAGGATGAGCACCATGTGGCCCCCAGACGACAGCGTGGCAAGAAAAAGAGCAGGGCAGGTGGAGTCTGTTTCGAGGCTCTGTGGGTCAGAGGCTCTGCTTTTCTGCCCCTGCTCTGGGAGCCTGGCCTCGGAGCCTGGTGAGACAATGGTCACTCCCGGCTCCGGGTTCTCCCCACGTGCATGAGTATGAAGGGGACTCAGGAGCAGATAGCCCCAGTGACACCCTGCCCTCAGTGCCCCGTGGGGTGGCACAGACGACAATACAGGCACCTGAGACCCCAGGGACGGCCATACAGAGGAAGGCAGTGGCCACGGGGCCGTGGGACCCACTGCACTGAGCCCTCTGGGGTCACCGCCCTTCTCTCTGGCTCTCAGCCCCAGCCCGCAGGCTCCCTGCTCCTCAGATGCACTGGGCTCTCAGGACTCTCTGCTGGCCCTGCCGGCCCAGGCCACCCGATGACACAGAGTCCCCTAGCACCCTCGTCCTGGAGGCCTGCAGCCAGCTCCATCCCCGCAGTGCCCCCAGCACAAGGACACGGCGGATGCTTAGGATCCTCCAGTCACTGAGCAATAGTAAGGTCACGAGGTGCCACCACGCGTGTGGGAGGTGGAGCCAGGCCCGTGAGCACAGGGCCCTGGCAGGAAGTGCATGGCCCAGGGACAGGGAGGGGAACGTGGGAAGGTGGAATGGGGACAGAGAGGACTGAAATTGGTGAGAGTGGTGCCTGGGGACAGCCCTGCCATCCCGGGTGACACAGAGCAGACCGGGACCGGGACAGAGACTGTGTATGGACACAGCAGGGCCGGGGGCTCGAGTCAGGGCCTCAGAACCCTGGCAGGAGCGAGTGTGGGGACAACACATGCTCTCATGCGCCTGCCCGAGGTCCAGGTGACATGGCCACCTGAGGCAGAGTGAGAAGAAGGTGCCCAGCACAGGACCAGCGCTCGGGACTCCAGGCAGTGCTCATGGGGGGCCCGGCCCTCCTGCCATCCCCCAGGCCCCCGACGCTGCTCCTACCGTGGAAGTGCTCAGCTGTCTTTCGCCGCAGGGTCTGCAGGGTCACCTCAGAGTCCGCCCACTCCAGGACCAGCCTCCGGCCGTACAAGTGGGTGCTGTGACACAGGGCATTGAAGGCTCGCTGTGGGGGACAAGAAAAACGGGAGTGGGTCAGTGAAACAGGACAGGGGACTCTGCTTCCCGGAGTCTCAGACTCAGGGCCTGGGCGCTGGCCCTGTCACACTGGATCCCCGGCGAGGGGTTGGGGTGCGGTCGTGCACCTCTATCTAATTAGTGGGTTGTGTTTCCAGGGACAGAGCTGCAAGTGACTGAGCAGTCCACACGGTCACTGCTGCCGGGCCGTAACTGGCACCAGGGCTGGGCGGCCACCTCATTTCCCACGTTGCTTCCTGTCTGCCAGGGGCGACCCCATTAGCAGGCCAACTCCACCTGCCTGTCAGCAGCCCCGGCCACAGCAGGACAGACACACGGGCCCTCAGTGTCACGCGGCCACTCTCTCGCCCCAGCCCGAGGCTCTGTCTCCTCCTCTGCCCTGTGGCCTCCTTGCTTGTCCTGTCCCTCCCTCCCCCTGCCTTTCACCCTTCCAGCCTCTGGCCGGTCCCCTCTGCTTGTTTTAAACTCTGTACAGGGACACAAGTGCTCCTCAGGTGCCAGCGCTCCTCCTTGCTCTGTTCTCATCTGACTCGACACACTTGCATTCTGTCTGTCAGCAGAGGCCCCAGCCAGGCAGTCAGCTTAAAGCCCCAGGGCTCCAGAGAGCCTCAGCTCTGCCTCTGGGTGGTAACAGTGGCCACAGGACCAGGAGGGGACGGGCGGGTTTGTCCCTCTTGCTTCTGTGGAGTCCAGTGGCGCCATATAACCAGAGGCCCAGCCTGGATGGAACCAACCACTCGGCCTTGCTGGAGACAACGGTTATGGCTGTGCTGTCTCACCCCAGGACCTCAGGATGTGACCGTATTGGAAACAAGTGACTGTGGGAGGCAGAAGGCGGGATGAGGGCACAGGGTGGCAGGTGGCCCTCACCCAACGGGGCTGGTGACTCCAGGGGGCTGTGTGGGGACAGAGGGGGACACCGGAGTGATGAGACTGCACAAGGACACCTACGATTGCCAGCTGCCACCAGAAGCCAGGAGAGCCGGCTGGGGAATTCCCCCGGGGGAGCCAGCCCTGCTGGCCCCTAGCCTCTGGGAGTGCCAGGAAGGACAGATCTGTTGTTGAAGTCACGAGGTCTGGGGCGCTCTGTCACAGCGGTAAAGTGGTGACCTTGGGCAAGTCCTCCTGGTCAGGGTGCCATGGGTGGGACTGGAAGTGAGTGCAGGAGAGCGGTACTCGGTGTCTCTGCAGTGAAAATGGAATCCAGAAGGATGGGAGGAGGAGCAGGAAGCCATGTTTAAAACCACACAGGTGGCCAGGCTGCAGGGCCGCTTCATCCTCCTCCGCGCTGTTGTGCCGAGAGAAGGGCCAGGTGCAGGGAACTTTCTCTTTCTCTTTTTTTAACTTTCATTTAAAACCTTCTCTCTCTGCCAGCACAGGCTCTGCATCTTTTTTCAGGCAGATATAAAGTTGCATCTGGACTCCGTGTTGAAATGGCCCATTCAGAGCTCTGAACACACGGGCTCTCAGCTGGCGAGGCAGGGGAATGGTCTGACTGGGGGAGTGGGGCTTTGAGATGGGAGAGGCACTGGGGAGTCTGGTGAGGGGAGTATTCCAGCTGGCACCAGGGCCTGAGGAGCTGTGTCCCCGGGACCCAGCAGGGAGGGGCAGCCAGGAGGCTGCATCTGGTGGACGATCTGCCCGACCCGGCCCCCTCTGACATTGCCCCTGGCAAATGCCATCTCTTTGGCAAAGCTCGCTTGTATTTCATTTGCCCGGAAGGACTTTCCATGCTCAGAGGTGGGAGGGCATAGCAGCACACAGAGTGCAGGCTCTGCAGCTGGCTACTTCGGTTCAGATCCCAGTGCCACCACTTAAAAGCTATGTGACCTTCAGCAAGTTGCTTAACATCTCTGAGCCTTGGCTTCTTCATGTGTAAAAGAGCGGCAGCAGCTAAAGATGGGAGGGATTCAGTGAACTGTTTATTCTCAGGCTGAGCACACCGTGCCATGTGTCAGAAGCCTCAGGAAATGTTGGCTGCTATTACTATGACGATGATGACAATGCACGCCTGACTTTTCGTTAGCAGCCAGAGAGCAGGAACAATGGTAGCTGGGACCCAAAACCTCCTTTGTGTTTGCAGTTAGAACACAGTATGGGGTTCTCCAAAAATAGCAGAATCACTCTTCCTCGTTCCAGGCCCCCAGCATAACAGGAAATCAGGTTGCGTTCTCGAGCGCCCACTGCCGCGGTGGCCTCAAACTGTCGGCGGCCTCAAACTGTCGCAAGCGGTGTGAGGACAGTGATTTGAGGCTAAAGTTGGCTTCGGATAATCCAGAGTAATTGCATTTCATTAAGAAGGTGTAATGGGAGCTTGCTGTAGTTGAGGGATCCTAGGGGGCAGGGGAGGGGTGAGGAGCAGAAGACACAGTCCTGACCCCGAGGGCTTTCGGCCGTTACAGGGACACGCTGTGGGGACGAAGGCTCCAGGCACAGAGAGGGAAGAGTGGACCCTCTGCTAGCAGCTTCCGATCTGTGTCCGACCCCAAGATGCCACCTCCCCTGCTCCCCTCGGGGGATTCCGTGTCCTGGACCTTGGCACCTCTCCAAACGCTGCTCCTTTCTGGATATCAAAGGCATGGATTCTTGATTGTGGTTCACAGAATCCAAGCACAGGATCTCCACTTACTCCTGAGAGCGAGCATCATTCTCCCATTTCAACAAGGGGAAAGCAGAGGCACCAGCCACGGCACATACGCAGGTCAACTTCCCTCCTTCTTTCCTTTTCAGCCTTCAGATGGTCCATTTCCAGTTGGCCCCACAAGGGTCCTGCTGGAAGCCCAGGGAAGGCTCTGTCCTCATACACAGGCTGCAGCCAGGGCTGTCCCTGAGCCAGTACACCTGGCCCCGGGCCGGAGTGGCCAGCCAGGGTGGCCTGGCTTAGCCATCCTGCCACAGCTCCCATCCCGCCCCCGCACGAAGTTCAGGAAGACAATGAGGACAGGAGTGTGACTGTCAGAGGGCGCAGCCCGGGGCCACCTGACCTTCAGGTCGCGGCACACATCCTGGACTGGCCCTGCACTCCGCATGCAGGATCGGGCCCTTGCTGCCAGCTTCCAGAGACCACACAGCAAGGCCCCTGCTGGCCTGCTGGGGAAGCCCCCTGTCCAGAAGAACTCTGGAGACCTGTGGTTGGCAAAGAGAACACTGAAGAGAAGCCAGCTAGCCCTGGAGGCCTCTCCCTGTCCCCTCTCCCTGATGGGCGATGCTGGCCACCCCCATTTTCTATGCTTAGGAGCCAATGCCCAGGACTCCCTGTGCTTTCTACCCAGGGGAAGAGAACAGGAGGCAGGGGTCAGATGCAGGGAGGAGAGGCGGGGACTCTTCCCTAAGGGAGGTGAGATTTCCCCGCTGTCGCTGGTCTCTGGTGAGTCCTTCAGAGTCATTTACTCCTCTGTAAACCTCTCTTCCCTTGAACGAGAACGCTTGCTCTGATGGTGCCCGAGTCCTTCTGCCCTGATGGGGCGCAGGTGGGTTCCCTGCCTCGGGCAGCACATTTGAAGGCCAGACCCTGATCAGGGCCCTGGGCAGTGGCTCTCAATGGCCTCCAGGGCTGTCCCACTGTCCAGTCTCTGGCCCGGCTGCGCGGACATCTGGCTTCCTGATCTCTGACTGGAGCAATGGCGCACAGGTCTGGCGAGGCCTGGCCTTGTGCTGCCTGCTCTGGGTTCCCCAGAAGGAGGTCTTCTGAGTGGCGTGGGGATGACAATGCAGGCTGGACTGGGACCGGGCCTGGTGGCCGTCTTTCAAGGCCAGGCGGGCAGTGGAAGGCGGCCAGCGCAGCACCGGGCTGACCTTTCCACAGCTCCCTGGAGACAGCAGCTTTGTCCCAGCAACAAAAGCCGCTCTGGGCCCTTGGCAGTGCTCCTGGCCCCAGGGACTGCGATGAACTGAGCGAGGCCACGGCTGTTGGGCAGAGTCGAGGACGGCCTCTCTCTGGACCCCTCTTGCTCCCTGGGGAGCCGCCCGGTGTGCAGGGGCTGCGTCTCTGGCAGACGGCGAACGCATCTGAACACGGGGAGACAGACCTGCCCCGAACTATAGGTACCCTTGGCCGTGAGTCAGCAGGTTCTGAGTCAGCCAAGAAGGCCCACGTGGCGGGAGCAGGGCCACTGAACACGGGGACAGGGGACTTGGGTCCTGCCAGTGCTACTGAGGCCCAGGTCCTCCCCTGTTCCCAGATGGTCCAGAAAAAGAGGCCAGAGCCTTCTGGGGGGAAGCTCAGCCTCCCAGACATGGATGGATGGCGAGCGCTATGTGCCCCTGTCCTCCCGATTGGTCCCACAGCGCCTGAGGCGGAGATGGGCGAGCCACCTGCGATGCAGGCGTCCGACCTATGGTTAAGTCGAGCTCTCTGCTAACAGGGACCCTCTGTGGGCCCTGGCTTAGTCTCCGAGTCCCTTCTGGGCAACCACACCGCGGAGTTGGGAGCAAGGCCCCTAAAGCTCGGCCCACATCCAGGCCGTGGGTTCTCTCCTTCCCCTCCCTTCCTCAGCTCCGCCTCATTCAACTCACGGCCCCTTGGGACCTGCTGTCCCCTGCTCTGAGCCAAGTGCTGCCCTAGGGGACGAGAGAACAGGACACCTTCGAGGTTCCCACACCCCTGGCACAGGCAGGATCGCCAGTGGGGAAAGAGGGCTCAGGCCAGGGTACAAGGCAGGAAGCCATGAGGCGACAGGCAGGTGGCCTGGTGACACTCTGGTGCCTGGCTATGTGACCTGGTGAGGAACTTCTCAGCTCCCACTTTCTCCACTGCAGGACGGGGGTGCTGTGTGATCTCCCGGGGCAGGGTCCTGGCTCCTACTCTTGTTCCACTGGTGGTTAGATATTTTAATGCAGCTGACAGGAGAGAGGTATCTGGTTGGGACTTCCACCTTTCCTTGGTAAGTCCTATTGATTGCCTGATACATCTGAGAAAGCAGGACGCACAAACCCAAATCTTCCCTACTTTTGTCTCCGAGTGGCCAGACAGGTCTTCAGGGAGCCATGTCCTGGCCCTGCCCACACCTCAGTGACGAAGCTGTGTGGCCTGGGCTCATTGAACCTGATCCTGGGTTTCAGCCTGTAACTGAGTTGTCTGAGTCTGAGTCCTTGCCTTGGAATACCAGCTCCATAATCAAACACATTTCTTTTACCTCTGGGCTGTGATGATAGGAACTTGGCGAAAGCCCAGCATGAGAACATGGGTGTGAATTTAACACAGAACACACACACACCTGGACAGAAAAGTGGGGACAAAACCCTAATTCCTGGCTTTGCTTCCAGTTCATATTCTGGGGCCCACAGAGCAACCACACCCAGCTCGGGACCCACGGGGGCCCAGAGGGTCTGCAAGCCCACGGGCTTCCTGTGTCTGTCTCTTTAACCTTCACAGCAGGCCCAAGGGTGACGCTGTAAGAACGCGTCCCAGGGGCCTCAGGGACTCCAGGTCCCAGCCACACTCCTTCGTCAGGGAGGAGGCAGCTCTGACATCACAGGCTGCAGTGACCCCAGCACGGCACTGCCCTGCGCCCAGCTCCTCCTTCCTCAGGGCAACGTGCCCTCTAGGCCCTGTGTTCCCATGGGTCCCCGGGGACAATGGCTCTTGTCTTCCCTCCCACACACTCAGACACCTAGACGCATGCTGAGCACACACCACCACAAGTGGACAGACACTTCCCTGTGCATGATTGTGGAGGAGGCTGTTGGGTCCCCTTGTCACCAACACTGCCCGGCAGGTCTCATGGGTGCCCTGGGTGCAGACCCGTGGGGTGTGGCCAGCACCCTTGAGTGGCACAACACGAGCCCTGATGGTACTCAGCAATGCCCGAACTGGGCTGGGACGCAGGTCCACGTCACTCCCTGCGGCCACCCCCAGCCTGGTGGACAAGTGAGAAATGAGGATGGAGACTCGAGCTGCAGTGAGCGACCCTGCAATTAAAGCTGCGGTTGTTTACCAGAGTGAGAAGAGCCGCCTGCCAATGCCAGCCGCCATCGCTTCTCCCCACTACCGGCTCCCCCCAAGTGTTTATTTAAGCCAACACATTGCTCTGCTAATTGGATAACATTCCATGTGAAAATAGACCTTTTAAAACAACAGCAGTGGCGGCAAATAAAAACAGCTGCACTGCAAAAGTACAAAGGCACACGGCGGCTCGGGGAGGAAGAAATTAAAGGCACGGTACACGGGAAAAATGAACGTTCTGGTTTCTGGACTGCGCGCCCGCTCCTGCGTCCTTCCCCTTCTGTGTGAGGCCCTTCCTTTCTCCCATCGTGAGCTCAGCCTGCTCCGGGTGAAGGGGGAGGAAGGGGTGGCTTGAAATGGAATCCCAGTGGCCATTGGTAGCTGCTCAGCCAATAGGGATGGGCATACCTAGCCAGGGGAGTGCAGCACACCTGCCCAGGTAGGAGGTAAGAGGCTGGGTGTGGGGGACGGGGAGCCTGGAGGAACTGTGCCTCTTAGTGAAGGCCACACGCCTCTTTGGACCCGAGGGGCCCTGTTCTGTCCAGGACGCTGCCCTCCTGAGACCTGCGTTCAGGGAGGGCCTCTGGGCCTTCCCGAGGAGCATCTTTAATGGGCGGGCCCTGTCAGTGGTGAGAGGGGAGGCTGCAGGGACAGTGCGGCACCTGGTTTAAGTGAACCAGTGAACGAGAGGAGGGAGGACCCTGACTGCTCCCAGCTGCCAACTGCTGGCTGCAGGACCTTGAGCAAGTGACCTCCAGCCTTTGTGCCTCAGTGTGCCTGACTTCCAAACAGTCCCCAGCACCTGTCCTTAGGGCATGGTGAGGAGTGACACTAATGCACCCAAATGTCCAGCGCTGTCCCTGCCCAGGACGGGATTTCGGAAGCTGATGGTTTCATCCATTCAGAGACGCTGCCTTTCAGAGAGAGACACTGCTGTGGCCTGGAGGACCGCTGCATTCAGGACGTGTGTGAGCCCCTGACTTCCTGGATACCGGCTCTCCTTCCCTGCTGACCTCCGCCTCCTGCTCCCCCCAGGCGAGATCTGGGAGAAATGCCGGATCATCACACCTGGAGGTTTAGATAACACCAGCACTTTCACAGGGACTGACATTTACTTCTCGGAACATCAGGGGCTGACAAAATGTCCTAGGGTTGGGAAAATGTGCCAACTCATCGATCTGGCTTTCCGAGAGCCAGGCTCCGGGCACCAGCACCTGTGATGAGCGCAGATGGGCCGGTCCCACCCCAGGTTGCCACAGTATCTTGGTACCAGCCTGGGGCTGGGCTTCCCATCAGGTCCCCGGCTCTGCTGCAGCTAAGCTGAGCTCAGCAGATGCCCCAAGGGATCGGGAAGGGAGACCCTGTGCAAACCTCCTGCCCGACTCCAGGTGCTGCAGAGGGGCAGAGGTGATGTGTGTGGAAGGGACCACGCAGGACCCTGGGGCAGATTCCAGGGGCTCAGGAACAGGTGAGCCCTGGAGGTACCTCCTCCCAGCGCTCTGCAGACTGCTGTCCCTCTGGAAGCCCAATACTCAGTTTGTGCCTGGGCACAGAGAGTGCACGGTTGTGTGTATCAGTGGACAGCACTCCCCACTCCACTCAGACTGACCAGGAAGAGTGGAGGGATGAGTGTGGCAGCTTCCCTGAGGGCAAAAACAGCAGAGAACTCTGCAAGGAGATGCTTGCCATGGCTGGGGTCAGATTTTCTGGAAGCCTGGCTTGCTTGCTCTGCACTGTGGGCACAAAGGGTCCTGGCCCTGGTGCCCGGGAGGGAAAAGTTGCTGCAGGAAGGCGGGGCCAGAAATGGCCACTGGCAGAGGCGAGGCGCAGATGTGCCAGACGCCAGGGCTGTGGGCTGAGCCCTTGCTGTCCTCAGATGCCCTTTCCCTCCCTGAGCTGGGCACAGAGGCAAAGAGAGGATGGAGGAAGAGGAGCTGCCACATGCACAAATCACCAGAGAGAGCTGTGCCGGCTCAGGAAGTAACCCTCCTTGTACAGGTGCCCAGTGCAGCCGGGGCTGCTACATGCAAAGAACCCAAGGAGCAGAGATGTCATGACGTACAGGGACACATGGTGTCCAGGGTGGACATCACACGGGGCCCTCCCTCCAGGCCCAGGTGCCACATCAACCCTGACACCGAGCTCCTGGAAGGGCCTGTGCTCCCTACTCCTGCAGCATCCGCCACTGAGCAACCTCAAGGTCAACAGCCAGAGTGCACAAGGGCCAGGGGATGCCACACCCATACCTTACCACGACTAGCTCACAAGGGGGGAAACTGAGGCATGCAGAAAGCGAGTCCCTTGCCCAAGACCACACGGTCGGTAAGAGGTGGCACTGGAATCCAGACACAGGCAGCCTGGATTCAGAGTTTGCGCGTCACTGACCAGCCAGGCACCAGGCTTGGAGAGAGGTGTTTCTCAGGTCAGCAGAGGACACTGCCCTCCATTTCTCCCTCCTTCAACTCACGTGGGAGCTGGGACGTGAAAGAGACGACAGAGGCCCTGCATGCACCCCCAGCCTCTCGGAATACCTATCAGTGGTGGTGCGGGTTCTGCCCCACATGGCTTCACTCTGTGGCCTCCTGCTCTTCTGAAGGTTCCTGGTCAGGGAGGGAGCCCAGAGCACGGCCGAGGGCAGCAGAGCAAGGCCACAGAGCTTGCACAGAGCTTGCAGAGGGAGGGCGAGGTGACGGCCCCATGCCCACCTCTCCACCGGGTCCTGACCGTCTGAGCCTGGGGCTAAGAGGGCAGTGACACAGGCCCTGAAGGATGCCCATGCCAGCCGGGCAGGACCCAGCATCCTGGTAGAAGTGACCTGGCCCTGGGCCCAAAAGCAGAGCAGCTGCCTCGATTGAAAACCCAGAGGCGTTCTTTGCCTCCAGGATGTTGGCAGAGTATTTGTGCGAGTGCTTGTGCACAGCAGTGTCCACCTCCACCTAGGCTGCTCCGGGTGACCAGCATGGACAGAGCCCCGCGATGGGATGGGGGGAGGGGAAGGCGGCAGCTCCCACATGCTGCTTTCTGGGCGCCTTTCCCCTCCTTCACATGTGCTCTTCCACACAGCATTTCCCATGCCGCCCAGGCCTGGGGGCCACCTGGACAGCAGTTTCCTCTGATGGAGAGCCCTGGGGAGCCCTGGCAGGTGCATAGCCAGGAAGGGGAGCCCAGACACTGCCCCTCCCTCCAAACACAAACGCCAGCGCTTATCCCTCCCCTTCCACGGATGTCATAGTGCAAATTTTGCAGGGTCAGGGAACAAAGACAAACACGGTGGGGGTGGCGACGCCCTGCTGCTCCCACAAAGGGACAGGAAGGAGAAGGAGAAGCGGGTCGGGTGGGGGGGGGCGGAGCAGCTGCCTCTCACCTTTGCATCCTGCTTCGTGAGGAAGTCCACGAAGCCGAACCCTCTGTGTGCGCCTGTCCCTGTCATCTTCTTCGGCAAACGGACCGTCTTCAGCTCCCCGAAGGTGCTAGAAACAAAAGACAAACACAGGAGTTGAAGAACTGGGGCCTGCAAGACTGATTCCCACGAGCTAATCTATTCCTTCGGGTTACAAAGGAGAAGTGCGCGCAGGCGCGTATGTACACACACACACACACACACACACACATACACACACTCTCTCTCGTGTCAGCCCCCCCCCCCCGAACTGAGCAGCCCCCTCTCAGTTCCTGGCCTGGAGGGGACAGCGGGTTGGAGATGCTGATGGAAAATTTTGGATCCTCTGTCAGGAGCTGGAGGCCCTGCCCTCCTTGGCCCTGTGGGGGTGACTTTTGCCAGGGGAACCCTGCCTTGGATCCATGCTGCTGGGCTATGGAGGCTCTGGGTTGGACAGGGGTTCAGTGGGGTCTCCTGACCTTTCCAAGCCACCTCCACATCCGGTGGGCACCTGGCGAATCCTCTCGGGGCTGGGCAGGTGGCAAGGGCCCTTTTCCCTGACCCAGGGCCTTGGACCTAGAGGTGCCTTTGGGGCTCAGTGCTCCAATGACACACGGCCCCTTCCTCTCAAGCTGTGCCCCAGAGAGGAAAAGAGACCCGCTCCTCCCAATAGGGGCCACACAGGGGAACATGGCCCAGACCGCCCCAGGCCCCTCTCCTCTCCACCGTGCTCAACCTCCCAGCGACGCTGGCACAAAGGGCTGTGCTTTCTCAGGGCCTGCCTGGCTCTCTCGTCTTGCTGCCCACCCCCCAGCCCCTTCCTAATGTCCATTTATCAAATCTATACGCACAAATTGCTGCCGATAAATATTTAATGTGCATGGCATCTGAAGAGAGGTATTACTTTATTTGAAAACCTACACACACTTGCGGCCGCCTGGGTGTACACACATGCACACTTCGGTCTAGGATGCTTCGGGGCCAGGGGCCGATTGGGTAAGAAACACAGTAAGGGCTGTAAGCTCTCGTGAAATGATATAAGCTAAATCCGAGGTGTTAACCCCCAGCCCTGCCAGCATGACCAGGCATCTGGCAGCCCAATTTCTGCAGGCAGGATGGAGTGGGGATGCAGCATTATGAATCCTCAAAATGAATCTGCACGTCTCCTTAGAGCTCTCCCCGGCAGCTCCGCTCCCCTCCCTGAGCCTCCCGTGTGAGACTGGGAAGGCGCAGGCAGCAGGGCCAGCCTCCGAGGAGGGGAAGGAGCAGAGCCAGCCCCAGGGGTCTCCCAGCCGAGAGAGGCCGGGGTTGGGGACCAAGGCCGGGCAGGCGGCTTGAGGAGGTGAGGGGTGGAAAGCGACAGAAGCCCGGTCTGCAAACGCTGCTTTCTTCTGCCACCTAAAGGCCAACACATCCATGACAGACACGCGGCGACCTTGCGTTCCCCCCACGAGGTCCTCTGCTGGGGCAGGGAAGCTGTGATGGACGGACAGGTTTTCCTGCTGGTTCACTCAGGTTCATGGTCTTTGGCTCCAAGCTCTCAGGGAGCCCGGGCACCTCAGGGCTGCTGGTCCCCTCTGTCCACTCCCAGCCCTCCCCGGGCCCCATGCCCACCTCTGCTGCTAGCTCGGAGCCGACTTTCCCACCTCCCTGCGCAGCGCTGGTGCTACCCTCTGCAATGTCATGGCTCATGGTGCCATGAACCCGACACTGGGGCCAGTGCTTGTTTAACTTCCCTGCCTTCCCCCGGGCTGGGACTCAGCTCCAAGTAGTAGAAACCACATCTGTATTGCTCACCGCTGGGTCTGCAGCAAGGAGCCCGGCACCCTGGCCCTGCATGGATGCCTAGAGATATTTTTGCAATAGACAAGCAAGCAAACAGAAGGCCTGAAGGTAGACACAGCCATGAGTAGATTCCACCGCCCCTAGAGGAAGAGGGTGAGGGTTAAATGAACAGGCCATGGGGCAAATGCAAATGGCACAGATGATACTGGCCCTAAGTCTCAACATCCCCATTTTACAGAAGGAGAAACTGTCTCTTGGGGCAGCAGCTGGCTCTTGCTAGAAAGTGGCAGTGTTTGAAAGGGAATCCAGGCCTGAGCTTGCTTTCTGCCACCTGTTTCAATGCCCTTCTGCCCCCTGGGTGGGGATGAGTCACTTTCTGGAGCTGAGCCTCCTTTTCCCAAGGCTTGGCCAGGTCTGGGGAAGCGGGAGGCCATGCTGGGGATGGCTAGGAGAGCCCTGTGCAGACTCTGGGGATCCAGGGTGACCAGGACCACAGGGCAAAGGGAGGGAGACTGAGCCCCAGGCCCTTCACCCAGCTGCAGGCAACCCCTACTTCTGTCTACAGGAAGCTGCTCTTCCGTCTGTGACAGGCTCAACACACTCTGCCCGGGTTTCTCAGCCCTGGGTACTGGTGAGCCATGCTGTGTGTGTGTGGGTGTGTATATGTGTCGGAGGGAGAGACAGAGAGAGGGGGAGAGAGAGACTGTTGAGGTTAATTCCTGCCTCTGCAGCACACTGCAAGCTGCGGATGCTCTGTGCATGGTAAGCAGCTGAGGGTCTGGAGAAAGGCGAAGAAAATAATTAAAAGGTGGAGAAAGAAGCTGGTGAGGAAGCTGAAGGAGCCAGGCTTCCATGGCCTGCAGAAGTGGCATGTGAGAGCTTGGCAGGGGGAGCCATGCCACAAGGACACTGGATCCACCAGAGGCCTCGGGCAAGGATGGGGAGTGTGTGGGGGCTACCTGGGAGGTCACATCTGGGGCTTGTAGACAGACAGGTGCACGGCAAACAAAAGCCACAGGCAGCTTTAGGACGATGGATACAGGTAGCAGGCTCCTTCCTTTTAATGAGAGAGAGATGAGACAGAGAGAGACAGAGAGGGGACTTGAGCCTGCACTGGCTAAGAAGGAGCTGGAGGATTAGGGTTAGATTTGGCAAGGAACTTCCAGCCACCTATGGCCACTTCCCAAAATGTACAGCAGGGATTCAGGACACCAACACTGTTGCCATCACCCCACCCAGCAAGGAGTGCCTTCCAGGTGACCGATCTCTGGGATACAGCATTTCCAGATATAACAACAACTGGGGGAGTGTAGCATCACCACTGCTGTGTCCGATAGGAGAAAACCAAGGGCCAGAGATGCAAAGTGCCCACCCCAGTCCACGGCCTGAGGACTCAAAGCCCAGGTGAGCTCTCCTGGGGCTGGGGACAATGCTGGCAGCAAAGGTCCTCGGGTGGTTGTGAGACTATGTGGAGTCACATGAGGTCCACCCAGCCATCGCAAGGAGATATCGGAAGAGAATTAAAAAGGGGGAAAGAAAAAAAGGATGGAGAGAAAAAAAATCGATGAAGTACCTTTAGCTCCTTGGAGATAAGCGATGTATAAATACCAGCCATTATGAAGGCCTTATCTGCCAGCAAGGTCCAGTGAGCCATTTTTAAGAGCGGCTTTTGAAGGGAGTTTTGCATGAGCCCTGTCTCCCGGGGGAGTGAGGGCCGGGGGGGGTGAGGCAGGGCAGGGCCGCCATCCCTGGCGAGGAAGGAAGCCAGGCCCTCGGGGACTGCTCCTGGCCCAGCCTCATGCTGGGGGAGCTGGGGGACGCAGACACGCACGCTCCCCACTGCGTAGATAATAGAAACCACAAAATAGCAATTACTGTATCAGAAGCTGTGAATAAAGAGGACATACCAGGCTTTTAAACACGGCCCTCCTTCCTTCCCCCACCACGCTCGCACTCGGTGACAAACTAACACCTCACTTTTCCAATTATTTCATTCACCTCAGGTTCACCAATTACTCCCCGCCCCGCATCCCACCCCCTGCACCGCGCCGGCGATGCACAGGACTGGGGGTGCCTTCTGGGTTTTCCATGACGACTGGATGTCACATTGCTAATTTCTTCCGAGGTGTGGGCGGAGGGGTGTGTGGGGCATTGAGGTGAGGAGGGAGATGAGCCAATTACACCCAGCCCCGGTAAACACACCGGGTTTGCAAAGCATGTTTGCACACAGCCCCAGAGGCGGACACGAGGCGCGTGCCCTGTGCGTGTGTGGGTCTGTGGTGGGTGGGGATGGCCTGTCTGTGCAGGCCAGGGCTGCCACTGCAAAGGGACAGCCTCCCGGTCCCCCTCTCTCCCTCCCAAGTGAAGCCATGGCCCAAGGACAGCCTGAGGAGCCGGTTTCCAGGATGGAAGTCCTGTCACCTTTTGGATCTGCTGGAAGGACCAGGATCCCAGGCCAGCTTCGTCCCTTGGGAAGTTTGTTGGCAAGACTTCTCCCTGCCCGAGCTCAGGCACTGCTGAGGAAAAATCGTGCTGCCACCCAAGGGACCTGGAGTAGGAGCAACGGCGAGATCTGAACAAGATGAAGGGTGGTTTTGCGGTCAGAGTAACTACTGGCTCCCGCTCCTTCTGGAGGTAGAGGAAATGGCTAAGCCTCTTGGCATTAAAAAGCCTCCCGCTATACCGCCAGCACCACATTTCCAACATGTTTCTGCATGCGCAGGTCCCAGGGGCCACCATGCTCTGCGCCTGGCTGAGTGTGAGGCACCTGGTGGATGAGAACTCTTTTGACCCTCGGGACCTTAACACTGTCATTCCTACTTCCCCATGGTCATCTGGGGAGTCGTTCTCTACCACAGGGGGCTCAGTGCTATGCCCAAAGGTCCCAGGGTGGTGACCGGCCATGCTGCGCTTGGGGCGAGCAGTCTGCCCCCCAATCCATGCCTCTGCCTCCTTAAGAGTCACCAAGCAAAGGCCCCAAGTGTGCAAGGTGCTGAGGGAAAGTGGATGGCGGGTCAGCCTTCAACTCAGGTCCCAGGACCCTGGCCCGGCTGGGGACAGCCATGCGGGAGGGAGGAGACGTCTCCTCCTCAATGGCAGCCAGCGCAGCTCTGCTCAGACACAGCACAGGACTCTGGGTAAAGCCTCCTATCACAACGGATGGGGTCTGCAGTTTCTGACCCTTGCTCACCACTCCCCTGAGGAATCCAAAAAGGGGTGCACCAGTGAATTTGGGGACCCACCGGATATGCTCAGTGGGCAGCAGATGTCCTGTTAAGTGGCCCTTGTCCTTACAGCTAAGGGTCC